GCAACACACAGAGACAGTAAAATGTTCCCCAGGGCGCTATTGAGCCAGACAGTGAGCTTAGCAGAAGAGTGTCGGTCTTTGTGTGCCTCTGAGTGGAACTTTCTGGCCATTAATTGCTGCGGACAAGAAGAGCCGACACCAAGTTCGATTAGTGCAATGTAAAGACAGAGACAGAAGAGAAAACAAATCGACGACAAATGTCGATAGAGAAAGGGAAATAAAAGTAAAAGTAAAAGAAAAGACAACTCGTGCTTAATGCCAACGACGACGACGGCACGAGGCATTCGAGCCTACCCTCATGGTGGCAGTGAAAAGCCAGCTAGTATTGCCGCTGTGACTGCAAGGCTGCACACTTTGCAGTGCTCTGCAATGCTAAACTGTTGCCAGATAAGGGGCCAATTGGCCAATTTAGATGAGCAGCAGTCGGTGGAGAAGGCGACGGCGGACGCTGGTCAATCACGGAGCGTGCTGATGCTGCTGCTGATGCTGTCGCTGCCCGGCGAAGAGCATTACGGGCAGACAGGAATCGCCGCCGCATCGGACTTGACCGAACTGACTCTCTCCCTCTCTCTCTCTCTCTCCCTCTCTCTGCTTGTGCCCACCCTTGGCCAGCAGTAGTAATGAGCATATTAGCCCTGTCCGCTTATCTCGTGGCCCGTCTCATTACTCGCCTGTCTCGCGGCCTGATTCTATTTTGCTAGTTGGCCAATTGTATTTCCTCCCTCGTTTGCCGCCTTCCCAAGAGTGTCTTTCAGTGCTGCAGAGAACCAACTTTAGCTTTTCTCTCTCCCTTGGCTTTTCATGAAAATAGCTAAAATATGGTAATTCACGTAGGCACTGCACTCGACTTGGATCGAGCGGGCGCTCATCGACCAGCAGCAATAGCAGCAGCTAGTGGCTTAGTGCTTAGCCAACATACACACACACACATACACTTCAGTGGTACTGACAATTATCACTTGGAGATGGCAGAATTGCCTATTCTTCTCCCCAGTGCACTACTACTTCAACTAAATTGTTCTGACAATATTCCTCAAACTTGACTGCGGGCGTACTTGCAACTTGCAAGTGAAATAGAAAGGCAATTAAACTGATGCCTACTGAAAGCACTTAAATCACTAGAAACTGACTAAGACTTTTAAAAAGAAAAATAACTGCAGACTTACCTCAGTCCAGGTCCTGGCTTCATCTTTCGTGTTCTCGCTCATCACCAGCTGCACCAGTGCTCCACCAACCGGTCAAAGGTCTGTGAAAGGAAAGGACATGACGGGCCAATTAGTAGTGCCAATAAAGTGGAGTGATGGAGCACGTGGGCCAACGAAAAGTGGCTTACTTAGGAAATACCAGAGAGTGATCGTTTGCAAGGACACACACACACTTTGTCAACTGGGCCACCAAATCTCAGACACTAACACCGTTCACTGTCCGATCATCGAACTTGAGTGCCCACTATATAGCGGCAGTAGTCACTGTCAATTGTCAACAATAACAACACCACCGTTGTTCGATCATTTTACAACAATGCAACCCTAGAACTAATGCGATTATTCTGCTTAATTTAAAGCAAAGTAGATTAATTGTCTGCCCGCGACGACGCAGGACGCCTGAAGATGGCCATTCGTGCGAGCAGACCAACTGCCCGCAAAATCATTGCAGGCAAGTGGTCGCTGGTGGCATGCAGTCAGTCTGCCATCAGTGATGAACTGCTATGGTCAGACTACAACTGCTGAGTTGCCCTTGTTTGATTGTGCTTTGTGGCGGCCACCTCAAGAGCAATTGAGCGAACGGACCACAGACACAGAGGCAGACAGACAGACATCTCATTCGCATTCGCTCTGCATCGATCGTTTGTTTTAGCAGTGTCTTTTAGCAGCAAGCTTCACTGTTGTATATGGGCAACACCAATGCCCGGAGACGCTGTCGAAACTGGGAAACTGCATGGAAGACAACAGAACTGGGGAGAATAGAAGTAGCAGTGACTGTCGATTTGGTGCCAATGCTGAGTCGAGTAATTCGAACGTCAATTCCCCAAGGCTGCTTTATTTATGGTGAGTTTAGCATGCAAAGGAAAACAACGGGAAAGGGCGAATTAGGCGAATTGCAAAATGAAATTCAGACGGAGACGGCGGCGGCGGAGATGCCAGTGTGGCTGCACTGAATGGACGCCAGTGAAGATTCACTTCACTGGCACTTGGCTCTTTCTTTTTGCTTGGCAGACACATACACACGCATACACACAGAGACAGTGAGACAGAGACAGAAACAGTGGTTTCTACCGACTGGAGGGCATCTCGCAGCGCCTGATCGAAGCTATAACAGTCAGAGAGTGCACTGCCGCTTGCCATTTGCACTGGCTGCGAGGAAACGGAAAAAGAAAGCAGTATCGATCACCAAGTGACTGCGCCGCACACAAACACACACACACACACCGTAAGACACGGGTGCACTGAGAGCATTGGCCTGACTGCTTAGGCTCACTTGCCTCTAATTACTGGCGATGCGGCAGTAAGAGGAAGCACGTAACCTGACTCACTGAATAATTGATCAGTCAATTTCTATTGACGAACACATATTCAATTTGCAGATTAGCTAAGAAAGAAAAAACTAAAGGTGAAGCAAAAGGAAAACAAAAGGAAAGCAAAAGACAGTTTTTTCTTTGCCATCATCACCATCACTACTCCTGCTAGTACTAATCTCAGGATTAAGATTAATTATTAGTGATGCCAAACGCCAAACTGAGATGGACAGCACAGTTTTCCTGGAATGTCGCATGGAGATGGTCTAATTAGCAGTGCAAACACTGCCTAGCAGAGAATGAACAAGTGAACACTTGCATCGGGCTGAGGGCGTCAGAGAATAAATGAAAGGGAGAGAAAGAAAAGAGCGTCTGTTTGCGGGAAGACGGTACGTCGGTAGGATAATAGCAAAGCAAAACAAAGCCGACAAATGTGATGTTAGCTTAGGTGAAGATATGGCCAAATATGGCAGAGGAGGCTAACTAAATAAGCAAAGCAAACAACAAGCAAAGCAGATAAAGAGAGAGAGGATCAGGTCCAGGGTGCCTCTGAGTAAGAAAAGAAGTTCGAGCAGAGCAGGCCTCTCTTTCAACTGAGAAACTTCATCCAGAGGGCTTTTGTGCGCTACTCGTTATTGTGCCCAGCTGCAGCTCAGTGAGCCAAGCAGTGAAGGGCGCCCATTGAAAGCACGCCGAGAAGTGTCCTTCAAGGGGCTAGACAATGTCGATCATGATCAGGCTTTGAAGTGTGTGTGTATGTGTGTGTGTCTGTATCTGTCTGTCTGTATATGTTTCCATGTCTTTCTTTCCTTTTCTCCATAAGCTGGCAAAGAGTACTTGAGCCTGCCTCGTAATGAGCCGTTGCAGTGCGGGCAGCAACCGAAGCAACCGTATTCATTCGGTGGATGCACTTCTTTCCTTCTTTCTCACTACTTGCCACAAACAGAATGCGCCAGTGCAATGGGTCAATTGAAAGCGCATCTGCGGAGAAAAAAAAAGAAAAGATAGCTGAAGAGTACTCATGCTGAAGAGAAAGAGAAACAGACAAACAGTAAAGCAGTGGAGATGATGATGATGAAAAAGAGGAAGAAAAGCATCGGTTGGTAATGGCTAATAAGCCATCGTTCCACTCATTTGTCACATGTAAGCGGGACATTAATAATCAATAAGGAAACGGGCAATGATGAGATGGAGAAGAAAAAGGAAGAGGAAAGAAGGAGAGAGGTGGATTGAAAGAGGATGATGATGAGTGCATCCTGAATCAGCAGTGCTTAGCCCACTGAAGAGAAAAAATAAGGAAAAGGAAGGGAAACGAGAGTGAAGACGACTCAGTCAAGTGGCCCAGGTGAAGAACGCGAGTTTGGAGGGGAAGTTGTTGACAAATGAGATGGCAAAGATGACTGCCGCCATCCGATGTGGTGGTCATTCCGTTCAGCAGGTCGGTCGAGCGTAATGTAATTGCCAACACGCTAAAACACCCTTAACACGGTTGCAAACAAGTGGAAGCTAAAGCTATTTTAGCGTGCTAATCAATCACATCCCATGGGTTTGCTGGTTCTGCTGCTGGTGGTGGTGATGATGCTGGTTTCCGGAACAGACAGATGACGATCACTGTGGCACACTGTGACTGAGCGAAGGACACTCTGGAGGACAGGCATCGGCAGGCACTAGGCACTAAGGTACACTGGTAGGTGAAGGAAGTATTTTGTTTAGTTGGGTAAACAGAAAATGCCGTCGCACCGGCGTCACTAAAAGATAACATTTATTGAGATTTATTAAACAGCAAACACAGGTCAGTCTCGATTGTCAGCGTTCACAGTGCCATCGCAGTTAAAGGAAGGGAGAACAACAGTAGTAGTGGTAGTAGAGAAAGAAGTGAGTGCCCCTGTGGGCTGGGGAACATCGATTGAGTGAACACTGTGGCTGGCAACATAACACTGGTCAAACCAAATTAAATTGGCCAAACCACAACCAGAAGATAGAGTGGAGAGAGAGAAAGAGAAAGAACATAACTGAAAGAGCTCTGGGCTCACTTGGGCTCACTCGCTGAGCTCAAGAGAGAAGGAGAGGAGAGAAAAATAAAAAGGAAGAACTGGATCAGCCAGCAAATGGGTCCATTTGGTGGTGGTGTAGTGCTGGTTATGGTATTATTGGTGATGTCTTAGTGATGATGGCAAACGATAGACTTTATATGAAGAGAGGGAGCAGTGTGTCTACAGTTTAGCTACTACTCGACAATCAGTCTCAAAGGTTTTTGCAGTAGTAGAAGGGGTGAGTTTTAGAAGATGATACTCATCATCACAACAAGCCATAGAGCAAGAGCACAGCAAAGCAAGCAGTTGGAGACAACTATTTCATCGTGGCGTAGCGTGAACAGAGTAGACAACGAAGCGTGTGCTGATAAAGAGGGGAGGCAAATAAAAGAGAGTGACTGAGAAAGACTGCTTCTAACCAAATGGGGCAAATCTGTCTGTGCTCTCTACTACTATTGATACGACGGGTGACTCTGCTGCCCATAGGTGTTCGCCTGTTCAGCAGCACTGAACGGATTGTACTTTGAACTGGGCACGACCGGCGCCTGGTAGGCTCCGTCAGTGGCGGCGTAGCCGCTTTGGTCATAGCCGCCGGTCGTATTGCCCTGCAGGTGAGTCTGCTCTGCAGACGTCGATGTGTAGCCCAGTGCAGCCATCTTCTGCTGCTGCTGTTGCTGGTGTTGTTGTTGATGGCCAGCCATTCGCTGAATGAAGGAGCCCCCTGCTGAGGTGCCATTGGTCTGCTCCGTCATGCCAATCTGCTCTGCCTCGAACTGCTCGTAGTCGTAGACACGGCGCAGTCCGGCGAGCACTGGCACGTACAGCAGATTGACAAGGGCAATGAAGAGGTTCAGCGCAGTGAAGCCAATGGACTCGACGATGGAGCCGGCGATGACCGGTCCGACGGCGTACGCCAGCGAGTAGGAGATGTCGGCGATGGCGTAGATGGAGCCGTACACTGAGACGTAGCGCAGGTCGACCAGGTAGCCCAGCGTGGGCAGAAGGGAGGTGTCGACGAGGGCGATGCCGTAGCAGATGCCCGAGATGGGCAGAATGAGAAACCAGAAGGAGGTGGCAAAGGGGAGGATGAGACTGCAGACACCCTCGATGGCGAGGCCGGCCGCGGCGAAGAACCACTGGTAGCGAGGGTACTTGTCGCAGAGAGCCACTGTGGAGTAGACGCCCAACACGTGGGGAAAGAAGGCAGGCAGCCAGATGAGGCCCATCTGCCACTCCTCCACGTGCATGTTGTCCTCCATCCACAGCGAGATGGTCGGCTCGAGGAAGGCCAGCGAGACGTTGGCAATGACCAGTGCGCCGGCGACGCACGCTATATGCGGGTCCATCAGGAGGGTGTGAATGGGCGTGCCTGCTGGCTTCTCTACCGAGCACTCATCCTGCCGCTCCTTGGTCGGCTGCATCACCAGCTTGAGGAGCATGGCGTCGATGAGGCAGACCAGCGAGAGAATGATGAAGGGCACCTCCTTGCCTGCGATCTGGTAGAGGATGCCGCCGAAGGGAGGCGCCACCAGGCTGCCGAAGGAGATGAAGGCGATGGCCATGGCAAGTGCCTTCTGGCGCTCGTTCTCCTCGGTGAAGCGGTCGGCGATCATGGCCATGCCCGCAGTGTCGGCAAAGGCCGAGCCGACGCCCTGCAGCGACCGGGCCAGGAAGAGGACACCGTAGCTCTGGCCGCAGGCGAAAACCGCCGTGGAGAAGAACATGACGCAGAGGCCGATCATCATGGGAATGTCATAGCCGATGCGGTCGATGATCGCCCCCGAGAAGGGATTGATGAAAAGCTGGACGATGGCCTTCGAGGCGAAGAGCATGCCCACTGCCGAGTCTTCGCCCTCGTAGATGACGGTGCCGCCGAAGCGGAAGGGCACCATTTTGCTGCTCACATTGCGGTACTCTATCTCTGCGCCCTCCAGGTGGGTGTCCCAGGCGCCGATTTTGCGCAGGTAGTCGGGTATGATGGGCACGATGACCATGTAGAGCATGTTGTCGAGGAGGAGAGCCACGCAGACAATGAAGAGAATGATGCGCCGTTGGCTGCGTGGCTCTTCGATTTTCTCGTTGAAGCGCTTCCATAGCTCGGCGGTGTCTTGGTTCAGTATGGGAATGAAAGGCATCCTGTGATTCGGCAACTTTTTTAGGTAAGGACAATGTTTTCACTGGTCTCCGCTCTGCTGCACTGCACTTGCTGTGTCTCCCTTATTTTGTTATTGCTTGTTCTTGGTCTCCTCCTCCTCTAGTCTCCTTCTAGCGTGTGTGTCTCCTTCTCTGCCTGGAGCGGTATGGTGAGGAGGACAGCCAGGTGATGTCAGCCCGAGCAGCTTTTCTCGCAGTGCACAGCCATCCCAAGAATAGAGTCACTAAGTCCAGCTCATCTCAACTAACGCCAGAGTGCCTGTATGTGCGAGAAAACAAACAAGAAAATGGCAGTCTTTAGTGGTCTGAGGTAGACAGATTCGGTTGATTCGGTACAGTACAGTACGCTCTTTTGCTGTTTGTGATCCGCATTTGCTGCTAACCACACAGCGCTCACTGAGTTCGCAGAAGGAAATGCAGGCGATCTGACGATAGAGGTGCCAGGCAGCGAGGCAGCATTACTACCAAGGCAAAACTAGAACTGGTCTTTCGTGTCTCTTGGAATGGCGCGCACTGGCAACTGACAACAGCGACGGCAGCAGAGATTGGCCGCAGTTAGAGTAGTGCAAAGAGTAAGGCAGAATAAAGAATGGTTGCAGATAGAAAAAAAACAGTAGTTACGGGTAAGTGCCGTTGGTGAGTGTGTGTGAGTAAGTTTATGCGCTACATGGCAATGTACGGCAATGAAGAAGGAAATTCCGAGAAAGGCTCTGCTCTAAAGAGCTCGCTACGGAAACAATTGTAACAGCAAAAAATACCGAAAAGTACATGCACTGAAAAAAATGAAAGATTGTCCGTTTGTCAGTTGTGTTTGCTTTCTCCCGCTCAGCAGTGTTCAGAGCGGCAAGTGGCCGGAACCGCCTTCTGAGCCTTCAGCGGCTTCAGATTTGTACAAATAGTACAGTTAAAGCGTTGCAGCAAAGTGACGGGTGGAAATTGGCAGTCAAAATGCAAATGTTCCAAACCCGCCTGACGACAAGTGTTCCTCACTGCTCAATTGCTCACTCCTCACAAAGGCACGCAACACAGGCACAGGAAGAGAGAGGACAACCTCCGCTAACTTGCCTAGCTGGCTCAAATTAAAATGCAAATTGACTGTGCAGATACAGTACACGAACACTGCTGATGTGTCAGAGTGGCGGAGGGTTAGGGAAAAAAGAGAGAGAAAGAGCTCGTCTGCTTAGCTGCTCAACTAATTGCCAACACTCGAGGCGATGTTTTGGATGTTAACAACTTTGGTCGACGCCGACGTCGTCGTCGCTCATGAAACGTTGGCATCTCCTTTCGGGTGCAAAGGCATATGAAATATTGATTGCGTAGAGTAGGAGGTGGTGGGGACTGAGGGAGAGAGTATGTGTGTAAGTGTGTTTCTGGGCACGGGAGGCCATTCGCCACTTGCTGGTTGTGCCTCTTGCTGTTGCTGTTCCCTTGCCGACTACCATTGAGCTAATTAAATAAGTGACACAACACTGCAGGGTCATGCTGCAGTGGTGCATCAGTGGATGAGGGGCACCATGAGCACAGATGCATTCATGTGAAGCAACATCAGCAGTGGTGAGCAGTGAGCACCTCGAACGTGACCAGGGTGCCAAGAAAATGGCCAGACGGGCACTGGCAGGAGCACTCGGCGACAGGACTCTCTGACTCCCTCGACGTGCCACACCAACAGAACTGGCACCAGCATCAGCAGCAGCAGCAGCAGTGCAACTAGCCCTTCTCGTGGGCCAGTCAGAGTGAGCATTGAGCATTGCAAGCACTGGCTTGTTATCTTTGACAAATGCTCACCAGCTACTAAACGGTGATGATGCCTCTTAGGCTGCCGCCGCGCGTACGACCGTCGCGATCTTATCGCCAGCGAGCGAACAAATGGCCTATTTATTGGCCGTCTCAAATATTGACATTTATTAGCCTAAGTCAATAGACGGCACGCACTGCACGCCTGCAAACACAGAATACACTCGGATACTGATGCAGCTACTACTGCTCTTGCTAAACACATTTTGCCGGTGATGACTTTTGTGCACTACGACACACTTTGCAGTTGGCATTGTGCACAGTGTGCCAATTTAGAGCGAATCACCACTTCAGCAAGTGTGTGTGTGTCCATTGTCCAAACTAATCATTAAACTTCCGCAGCCCACTGTTCGCTCACTGCTCACTGGTCGTAATTAATGTTAAAGTGCACACGTCTGCGCCACTGGTGTTACTGGCTCATTCAACTATCACTCGAGCGCCTGCACTTTCCCTCTACCAGTCTATCTAGTAAGTCTAGGTATCTGCTGTATTTCACAGCAGCCCTGCTCTTACCTTTCTCGCTGCAGTCTTTGAGTATTGCCGCAGGTCCGGTGTTCCCAAACCAAACTGCTGGCGACCGGTTGAGTGGAGCGGATGGACAGACAAACACATACACACACTGATGCACAATGCTGGTAGTGATGCTGGTGCTGCTGGCAATGGTGGAAGATGAACACGAACACAAGGAGCCCAACTGAGAACTGACGACTGCAACTGATCCACACGGCGACGTGAGCGATCGAGCCAGACGGATCGAGTCGAACGAGAGACGGTGAACGACTGACGGTGGGCACCGGTGAAGCAGCCAAGAGGAGACGACATCCTTGCGGCCACAACGGCAGCAGCAGCAGCCACCAAGAATCGTCATTGTGGGCGCAGTAGGGTGGCAGACCAGCCCGCCAGGAGGAGGCGACTGGAGGGAAGGTGCAAGCATGGCGCCCAGTGAAGAGCAGTGCTTCGCTGCTTTATTGCCGTGAACGCCTCCTCCAGTCAACGAGGGAGAGAAAGCAGCAGTCAGGAAAGGCACCCGAAGAGACGGGCGCCTTCACTGCCCCCGCAAGTGCACTCTTCACAGTGGATGGCCTCCTTGGCCAATCAGCTCAATGCCCAGATGGACCAGAGGTGTCCGTCGAATGGCGAAGAGCACAGCAAAAGGCGATGCTATATAGTCGGTCGAGGCGCTATATGGTGCCATTGTCCCAGTGCCTAATTACAGCGAAAGAAAGAGAGTACCAGTGCAGAGTGAGAAACAGAGAGAGTACTCCCAATTACTGCTGCTGCTGCTGCTGTTTTTGCTGCAGTTGACTTTGCCTGCCAACTTGATTTCTGCTCGTCAACCGGCGGCGGTGGCCACATTGCGCCCTATCTTCGGCAGAGCGAACGGAGGACAGAGGACGGTTTCGACGACGACAAACAGCGAGAAGAAGGAGAGGAGCTCCCAATCGAAGTCTGCTTTCCTCAAGGCTTCTGCTGGTGCTGTTGTTGTTGCTACTTGGGTGCGATTCAATTAAAAGTTGCCTCTCTTCTTCTCACTTCTAACGTAGAACAATTGCCGCCTTGTTCGAAGCACAGTGTGTGCCGTGTCTTCTTCCTCGCATTGATCCTTCACGTTGCTGCCCATTAATCCCCATGTTCTGTCAGTGTTGTTTGCTTTGAAGCAGCAATTTAATTACCCAAAAACCCGACAACTCGACGGTGCCAACTGTCGAACAGCCTTTCTTTCCATCGCCATTCCATTCTCTACTGTTGGTGATTCTGCCGAACTTCCTTCGCTCGATGTGAAGTAGTGTGAGTGTGTATAAATGCTCCTGTGTGTCTCTAGGCCTGAGCTAGGCCAAATATGGCGTAGGCCGAAGCAGCCGCCGCCGTCGCCGCCACTGCCGCCGAGAAGAATGCAAATTGGCTGGCGCTCTTGCACGGCAGCAGACGTGATCGGCGCCGTATTGTCTCGGCCGTTAGGCTGCTTAAGTGGAGGCCAACTTGACGGTGAATGCCGAGTCTTTCTCTGTATTTTTTTCCTTTGTGAAGACATACGGCAGTGAGGCAGAGGGAGCAAGGAAGGAAGCAGGCACCGAACACGAAGTAAGTGGCACTATGAGAAACCAACAGACGAGGCCGATGAGTGATGCAGTGAATCGAGACATATGACATGCGGTCTCTGCAGTCGCCAGTTTGCAGGAGCACGGCTGGGACAGTGTGACTGAACAGGTGCTCTCCCCATCTTTCAATGGCAAATTACAGACACTGGTACACCTTTGCTGGTACTCTCACTGCACCAGACAACTGACAACTGACAACGGTCGTCAGGACGATGAGCCCGGTAATTGCCACATGACAATGGGTTCGGCTAAATTGGCACCAATTCACCAATTCTCCAATTCACTTGACGTTTATTCGCATTTTCAGGTGCTCGTTGTTGTTCTAGTAAATTATGCATCTCAGACTACTGACCTTTTATGTAAATTATGAGGAAATATTCTGAATACGCCTATATCATTTGCTGTAGAAATAGCGCCACTATTTAGGAGGTCAGTAGTCTGAGACGCATATAGTAATGAGCTTTCGTTCGAAAGATTCCACTTCAAAACACCTGATTATTTTTTTTCAGTGCCAGGTGCGCCACCTGCCAGAGTTTCATCTCACTATACGTGCAGAGGTATAACGGTTGAACTAATTTTCACTGTATTTCCCAAAAGTACTTCACAAGTAAATAGTTAAAATCAAAATGACTCTTTACTTTTCAAATTCATTCAAATTACATAATCATTACAAATAGTGGACTGAGACGGGGAAAAAGTCAGTCTGAATCACATTGGCTCCGGAAAAGATCACTTGGCTGCACCACGATGAGTTTGGAGAAATGATAAAAAGGGTGAAAAGGGGCGCACATTTCCAATAACTTAGTGACTAAAAAAGTATGTACAGACAATATTTACAGTGAGTGTGTATACAGGAATTAAAAAAGTAACAAAAATCTATCTGTGTAAAGAAGGTCACAGAAGTACTATCTGAGCAGTTTGGGAAAGCGAATTCGGTCAAAGAGGTTGCTCTCCTTCCTGACGGGGCTCTCACTCGTCGCCGTCTCTTTGCTCTTCTCTTGTAAGCTCAGCTTATTTTTCAACTGCTCCTCAATGAGCTGCTCCATGTCGACCTTAGGTAGCAACGATAATAACAGTAAGTGTAAGTGTACAAGTAAAAGTGAATCAGTAAATCCCTTACCTGCCACTGTTCGAGCTGTTGTGACAGTTCAACCTTCTGCTGAATGGTCTCCAGCAGTTGACTGTTAACGTGCATCAACTCAATGCGAATCTTTGCCAGCTCAATCTCAACGGTTTTCTTGCGGGCAATGGTGTCGTCGCGCATCTTCCAGGCACGTTTGACAATTTCATCGGGCGACAGTGTGGCCATGCCCTCGACGTCACCTCTCAGGACGGTGTTCTCCTCCTTCAGCGTGGTCAGCTCTGCCTCGAGCAGTGTCGACGAGGCCGTCAGGCGAATCACTTCGGCGTTCAGCTTTTGCACCTGATCTTTGTAGCTGCTGTTCTCCTTGCGAACTCTCTCCAGTTCGCTTCGCTCGCTGTTAAACTCCTGACAGGTGATGCATTGCTGGAAAAAAATAAATGATCAGAAAAACTGTAATATTTTCTTTAGCATCCTTTTCAACTTACCATAAAATCGAGACTTTTAATAAGCTCCTGAATATCACAAATGACGTAGTTTAGCTCTTCAATGCCGCTCAAGTTGGCCTGAATGCCGCTGTCGTGGTTTGAGTTGGAGGATACCACATTCAGCTGGCTTGCAGATGCAGCTGCAGCCGAATCGCCCACCCTCCGCCTGTACAACTCCTCGTACAGACTCTTCAGTTTGTTGAATGCATCAAACAGTTCTTGTTTGTGCTGTTCATAAAAATAAAATATGATTAGAATGCATACATTGATAACGGCGTCCATTTAAACAGTACCTTGGCACACTGAAAGCACATATTATCAGGCGACGAGTCAATGTCCTCTTCTGAGAAGTAGTTTGGCGAATTGCGTAGGTGAATGTCGTCACCAGAGGAGTGTGAGGACATTTCAATTTCATTGTACAGAGATGAGCCCTGCATTTTGTAGGCTTCAAAGGATCGCATCTTTGCAAAGTTGTCAATGCGGTTTTGGTACTGTGTGTTTAGCCTCCTAAGCTCATCAAGATCCTTCTGTTGACTGCCAATGAGGTGGTCTTTCTCGTGCAGCTGCTTTTCCAGCGAAAGAATGCGGTACTGCGACTCGTCAAGTGACATCGAGATAGAGTCCTTCTCCTCGTTCAGGGAGGATATTTTACTTTCCAACTCGTGTTTTCGTCGGCTGAGCAGGTTAATCTACATCAGAAGTGGGTGACAAAACAGTGTGACAAAAGTGGGGCAATTAGCAAGTTTGGCAAATTAGTCTGAACGACACACAAGCACACACAACTACAACTACAGAGTGTGTAAGAGACAGCAAAGTAAGCAGCACAGAACACCGACCTCATCCCGAAGACCTTCAAGTTGTCCAATGTGGTCGGTGACGTTGGTTCGTCTTGCCTGGTACTGCTCCTTCAGCGACTGGATCTCCTTTTCTAGCAGTGATTCACGCTGCGAGGTCTAGGCAGAGGCAAAAGACAACAAAGAAATGATTATTATAGCTAATTGGATGTAATTAAATTAGGCAAAGCAGTTCAGCAAGTGGAATACCTTTTTCAGTTCATTTGTCAGGCGGGTGTTTTGCTCGGTGAGTTCGCCGATGATGCGACTATTTTCGGCTTCGTTCTGTTTGCTGATCTCCAAGTGCACGTTCAGCTTCTCCCGAGCGGCACCGACGTCTGACTGCAGGTCGTGGATCTTGTTTTCGTATTCAATTTCAATTGAATTCAGCCTTTTACGCAGCGCGTACTTCTCCTGTTCGTATTGCTAATTGGCACAGATAGGCAGTGGGGGAGGAGGAAGAGGAGGAGGAGAAAGAAAAGGACGACATTATTAATCACCCGAGGCATAATTAGGCAATAAGGTAGTGTGTCACATTGTCAAATAGCTTGCTTAAAATACACTTCAACAGGTGGTCCACAGAGAAGGGCAGCAAAGGCACCGGACAGACAGAGGAGGTGGCCACCGAGGCGCCCAGTGTCCCGTTAAGTGCCATCAGCAGAAGGGGCAGCAGAAGCACCGAAGACGACCAGAAGCGATAAAGCGTGAAGGAGCTGAAGAGGCTGAAGCGCCAAAGCGTAGCATCGCCAGAGTGCTCCTCTTGTCGGTGCTGTTGTTGCCGTCGCCGTTGGTTGTTACATTTGTTTAGGTCTACTTCACTACTCCTCAGCTCTAACATTTCCGACTGAATGATTCGAATGAGGTAAGGAAAGAGTGACTGGAGACAGCCTGAGGGAAATAGCTGCACCTAATGGACGGTCGCTGAGTGCGCCTGCAGGCACATCACTGCCGAGAAAACGTCGTCATTTTCAATTGGAGCCACTTTCGATTTAAGGGACACGTGTGAAGGCAGTATACACACTGTGTATCTAACGGTCTGTCTAACGGTCATCCCGTGTGGTGATGATGGCCAGTGAGTAGTCAATTGGTGTGTGCTTGTGTGTGTTTTTGCACCGTGTCATGGCGCATTATCGCCCCATTACCACTTCATTCGCCCTCTCCCCCGCATGATTACGACCATGTGATGAGACATTGGCATACACAGACACATTCGCAGACAGACAGACGCACACATTGGCCACCAAACTGCTGAGCACATCTAATTTGCGTGTGTAAGCGAGATCATGAGAACAGGCGCGCCAGCCAGCATCACACAGTGCCCTTGCACGCATTGTACGCAGTACGGCAGTCACCGCTGAAGAAGGCCACCAGTATAGGAGAAGAATTGTAATGGTAGTAATGATACTAAACAACAGAGCCACAGGTGCCAGGTGGTGCCTGTCTGGTTCTGGTCGCAACGGAGGCAATCGCTCTTTCACTTGAACTCAATCACAGGTACCTACATGCACGAATTCACTCGGTATTCAGTGACGCAAACTGTGGCTAAGCATCCAAAGTGGTCGCTCCAGTTTTGAACTGAAATGCACGAGAAATGCTGTTTTTAAATGACAGTTATGTGTGCGGCTGTGTGTGAACACTGCTGCAAATGCTCAGCGACGCCCGATGTACGGCGAATTGGACAGACAGCACGTCGAATCGAAGTAACCCGCATTTTTTGCAAAGAAAATGGTATTGTCAAATAGTAATTGCAGTCTGGTGCTGCTCCCCTAAAAAAGTAAGAAAGCGCAGGCAAAGTCAATCAGTCTGTCAGCTGCATCAGCATGATCAGTGGTGCTCTGTCTCCTCTTGCGTCACTCAAAAGAAGCCACTGCCGGGCTCAATTACGTGATTGAGCCAGCACAAGAAAACAGAGCAAGGCAAATGCGCAATTAGAAGGTGGTCACTGCTGCGGCTGCGGCTGCTTCTTCAGCAAACTCATTCGTTTTTTTCATTGCTTGCTGGTCGATTGGTGGCGTATCCAGGCTGCCTGGCCAGAAAGTTGGATACTCAGTCAGTCAGTCTGTCTCTGTCTGCCAGTGGCCACACAATGAGATGAACATGATTCTCTCTGAAAATGGCCGCACTGCGTACAGTGACCATAATAATCAGCTTCAATCAATGACAACGAACCGGTAAGGCGCAAGACAAATTGAGCCAGCCTCGAGAGGGAGAGTGCATGGATGAAGAAAGAGTCACTGCTTTCTATTCAATCGGTCAGCTTTCTAGCTCGCTCGCCGACAGGCAGGCACAATGTTTCCCCCTCTCCGTGTTTTCTCTTCTCACTGAAGTACAACAGCAGTCATATCGATACAGGAGAGGACACACTCGTAATCGGCACTCCAAACGCAAGAGTGGCTATTCCACCTGACGCCAGATGCTCTCACCAGCACACACTCACTTCATAACACACATGTGCACAACATAGCACCGAGCTCTTTCCGTTCCGAAGTGTGCTAAGAGGAAAAAAGTGAACAGCCTGACAAGTGATCAAGACTGCACCGATTGCCGACTGACATTGTCTGTGTCTGTGTGTGCGCGCATCCAAGAGAGGAACGATGATGTTCTCGCAGGCAGATGCGTTCGGAGGATGCTCTCGTACGATTATTTGACGAGTCGATAATTATAATCATCGAGCGGCAAGAAGCAAACAATCGTTTAATTATGAATAGAAAAATTGTTAAAGCACGGAGATGGACAGTAGATCCCCCTGTCTGATTGACTGAATGACTGCTGTCGGGCACTGAATGCTCAGTGGCCATACTGTTCCGATTGTCAGTCTGCCACTGCATTGAGCATCGGAAGAAGCAGAAGCACGACATCCTCTTGTCCAACTTGTGTTGTGTGTGTGCGTATGTTTGTCTTCAAAATAACGACCACCACTTGATTGTCCACAGCATCCATTTTGGCATTTTCCCACCAATGTTGTGGTGTCCAAATGACACAGACTGCAGGCATTTGTGGTGATAGGACCACAGCGAGTGGTGGAAAATGGCAGTTTGCCAGTGTGAGTCAGTTTCGGTGTGCTGTTTCATCTTCTGTTGTGTGTTTCTCTGAGTGACCACACTTATGATGGCACTTTAGCTGAGAGCGGACATCGCTCTGACTAGGTGACAGGCTATCACTGCTAAAGATAGTAAAAGCATGCAAAGGGGTCAACAGAGCTGAAGGAGATGAGAGTGAGTTAGCTGTGTGAGCCACCAGCAATCGGTGAAATATCATCATATGCTAATGGAGTGAATCTCGGGAGATGGAAGCAAGCACGCGAGCAGTCCACCAGCAATCAGCACACACACACACACAGCATTATGGCCATCAAATGAGCTGAGCTAATGTACACATGCCAGGAGAAACGTGTGTGCACCCTAGAGAATGTGCGCACAGTGGTCACAGGTTGAGCCTGGTGCTGAAAAATGAAAAAGATGATGATGATGAAGGGCCAGTTCAGAGCCACTGACCCAGTTGGCAGCTGCTGTGAGGCCGAGCGAGGCGCTGGGAGAATGGCGCCAGCGACGACAATGCTGCTCAGTAGTGGGAGAAGGAGAGGAAAAGAGGGGGAGAGAGTTCGTGCACTCTGCTGGCGTGATAATTAGATAAGGCCACTAATTGCCGACCGATGAGACGGTCGATGGACAGGCAGCCAATCGACTCTTTCGCACCTCACGGCGTGACAATAGGTCAGCACGCGGATCTACTCAATTAGGCTGAAACGAGTGAGCACTCGATGAGCCACTCATTCACTCAGCAGCAGCAGCGGCAGTCATTATTCTCTGTGCTCAGAGGAAACAATGCGAACAGTATGAGAATAACTTTCGCTGCAGCAGTCTGACAAATGAGCAAGATTGCAACAACAACAACAACATCAGCAACTCTATTATCGATGCAGCATCTACCCGGTTCAAGATAGCACCGAGCAGTAAGCAGACAATTAGTCGTCGATAAGACAGAGAGTGCCAACACACTGAGCGTGGCAGCAGCAACAGCAACACTTAGGGACAGCAGCAGCAGCAACAGCTCTATCCGCAGTGAGTGCTATCTCAAGTTTAAATTAGATTAGGTCGATTAGTGTTCAGTTACGGCAGCAGTTAACGGGTAATAACCGCCCAGTTTGGCTGCGATATGACCGAAATGACGGACGGACAAAAAACGGTGAGAGAAAGAAAGCTGCCGCCGGCAGTGACGACAATTGGCTACGATTGCCAACACTCTTATAACTTCGTACACGGCGGTGATGGTGGTGGCCAAGAGCACTCTGCGACTGACTCGCTCAGTGAATACCTCTGTGTTCGATCTGACAGTGATCAGTGATCACACACACACAAACACACTCACAAACAAGCAATGTGACTCAACTGAGATACCACAATGGCGGCAGCAGTGCCCACTGCCCGAGTTGCAGAAGTTTGTGCATGCTTCACTCGCCCTCCTAATTGCCTCTGATCTAATTGATTTGCTTTCGATCGTTCACAGTGCTGCAGTGCTGCAGTGCTGTACAGAGACTGCGACGCCACTGCTCCATTGCCTCATCGATTGGCTGCGATTGGCGGGAACTGGTGTCGATTTGAAAGACGAGTTGAGAAAGTGGACAAGGGGCGAAGACGGGCACTCAATATCTTCTTCAGTCTCCTCTGCAAGTAACGGAATTGCCCAAAGTGGAGCTCTCATCGGGCGAGTCATGCAAACTCGACAATGATGATGATGATGATGATGATGACGGCTACGAGGACGCCGAAGACAGCTCGTCACACAGGTAATTTGGCAAACACTTTGGGTGGTTCTTTCCTTTGGTTGAGGCACTGCACTACCGCTGACACTGTCACTCATTCCCTCACTCTCTCAGACTTGGTACGTCCGTCCGTCCGTCTCCCCAGCACCGGTCTGTCACCACATCGCCGTTGACCGTCGATTGGTTCGTGTCACGCTACCTGAGGGCCGACTTAATTAGTGCAGCACACTAGCACACGGGAAAGTGTATGCAGAGAGGCTGCTACTTTTGCTGGTGGCACACTGATGCTGCCATTCGCCGGCGCTTTCTCATCGTGCCCGCCACTTGCTCAACTCCTCTACTCTGCTTGCTTGCCACTCTTTTTTTCTCGCTCTCTCTGCACGAGTGATAATCATGGCTTGTTAATGATTGTGATTAGGCACTGACTCTGACTGTGCCTGTGTGAGAGTGTGTTGCAATGCACGCNCTCTGCACGAGTGATAATCATGGCCTGGTAATGATTGTGATTAGGCACTGACTCTGACTGTGCCTGTGTGAGAGTGTGTTGCAATGCACGCTGTGTCACTACCATTAGTTGCTGCCACTGCTGCTGTTGTAGATTCTGATTCGTTAGTGTCCAATCAGCAACTCTGTTGGCGTGCACGTTGCAAAGTACGCGTGCAAATCTCGGTACCGATTGCACTGACGACAACTGCAAACTTGAGTTGAGAGAGTGAGAGAAAGAAAGATTCAAACTGCTCGAGTTAAAGCATAGTAGGCAAGCAAAGTAGAGAAGCAAAAGGGAGAGAGAGAAAAACCGAACGAGAGCACTCATGCAACTATTTCATTTCCGGATGCAGACCAACCGCCGACATCGTGCAAAGGTCGACGCGAGACAAACTTGACAGTCATTTGGAGAAGACGGCAGTCATTTCCTGCGGTAGTGACAAACCACTCAGTGATGTCCAGCTAACGCGCACAGAAAAAGAGGACCAGATGGCCAATCGGTGGTTTTTATGTTCATATGGCACTGCAACTAAGTTGACACTGCCACTCGACTGACAGGAAGAGCACACAGTTGCCAAACAGTGCTCAAGCAGAACAGCCAGCGAGGGTGAGGGCGGAGAGGTGAAAATGTGAACAGTGCATAGTCAGATAGGCGCCTCTATCTCTCTGCCTCTCCACTGGGCGATGACACCGATTCCGTGTCAGTTATTAATTACATAAGTCAACTATCAGTCGATATCAAATCAGGCAATCAGGCAATTCCCCTCAATCGAAGGAAGCCTGATCGGCCGGTGTGTATGTGTACAATGCAGTCAGGTGAGCACTGAAGTGAGCTGCCAATGAGTAGCTTTTTGCTTTCCCCTCCTCTTTGATTTTTTCCCCGTTGCTCTTTCTTTCTTTCTCTCTCTCTCTCTCTGCTTTTGAGTACCTTTGTTCGTCCGCTGATCGTTCTCCGGTGTACTGCTGTTCAACTTCTATTTCTCTCTGTGCCCGTGTGTGTCCCATTAATTGCGGCGACAGAACGGTGTGATTTCAATTAATGCCCGACAATGGACGAGCAGGAGGCAATGGACACAAACAATAAGAGCCGAGTACAGACACAACAACGACGCCAGCAGTTGAAAAGGAGATCACAGTGCTGCTGAGCTAAACTCTTGCTGTTGAATGGATTGAAAGCCCTCTTTCTTGTTGCAATAGACAAGAGGGAGGGAGGGAAAGAGACAAAACACGACGAATGATGGCCGGTTAATGCCAGCTGAAGTGATATCCAAGTCGAATAGAGGCTGAGAGACAGTGACAGTGTCGGTGCTGCTATTACGGCAACACTGTCCCATTGCCCATTGCGGCTGATCGGCGGTAATCGTCTCTCTACACCGAACACTGTCTCTTTAGAAGCTATTGCTGCAGCCTATTCAAACTGCCTCTTTTCTTTCTTTCCCCCCTTTCTCTCGCTTTACTCACATATTCAAGTCGCATAAGACGCTAATTAGACGGCTAATGAGTTATTAATCTAATTGCTCGGTGACAACAGCTCAGCGAGGGAGGAGATGAGGATAACAGAAGGAGCGAGAGAGAGAGAGAGAGAGAGAGAGAGAGAGAGAGAGAGAGAG